GGTGAGCGGGGTGATTTCGGAGGCTGGGTGTTTGGAGGCCCCGGCGCCCGAAGAGCCGCAGCGGGGCGAGCCCCCCGGAGTGACCGACAACCCCCAGGGGTGACGAGCAACAGCCCCCGGTGCCGCTCCGGGAACAGCCCCTGCGTGAAGCAATGGCTTCGGCCCTCAGTGTCGAGGGGTGCAGGGTTTGGGTTTTGACATGTTTGAGCACCACCAGTCTCTCGTTCCCCTAAAGTTTTGTAGGGAGATATGGAGGCTCTTGTGATGCTAATAGATTCCTCATTTTTCTATGTTTTATTCCAGTCACAGAGGACATGGGGGCATCTCATACAGGTAACTCTCTTGCACGATCAGCGTTTCAGCATAATCGGGAAACTGGCTGAAAAGCCAGTCCTCCTGTTGCTCCCAAGTTGTTTAATCCCATCCGGTTCGATCATAGTTGTGCTTTTTAGCAGCTGTCAAAGAAAAGCGCTTGACTTGGTTCCCAAGGGAAGTTCTTCAGTTTTTTTTCTGGGGGAAGGCCACCCTGAGGCATTATGGCTCAGACAGTTGCAAGTGAACACTGTTCACGTAACAGATCACTCATAGCCTGTCTCACAACGTGGGTGGGCCTAACAGGGGCAAACTAAATTTGTCTGGTTTCCTCGAGTATTTGTTTTCAGGAATACCTGGGTATTTGTAATGACTTATGGTTTTGTATGATATTCTACAGTTATGGCGTTGGAAGCACACTGATTTCCCTTTACTGAACCGGAGTATGTTTAGTCTTTTTTGAAACAAAGCAAACTCTGTGTCTTTCCCTGGAAACCTTGTAGTATGTTTTTTGTTTTGGTTTGGTTTTTTTCAAAGCGACTGCTGGCCAGCTACAAAGATGGCTTCAGGCCATTGCTATTCCTGTCAACAAACAGAAAATCTCAAAACTTATTGTTGTAAAGAATCTTGAAATCTGTAAGAGGCAGGAAAATCTTTTTACCTTTCCTGAGATTTTAATTTCCTGCTATAAAGGCACATTCTGTTCTCTTCATAGTAGTGTGTTTTTAATTAAAAGATGTTTTTGTGTTTCAGGATGACTCACTTGTAGTGTGGAAGGAGGTGGACCTGACCCGGCTGTCAGAAAAGTAGCGTCGTGATGCTTTGAACGAAATCGTTATCCTTGCCCTGTTGCAGCACGAGAACATCATCGCATACTACAATCACTTCATGGATAATACCACACTGCTGATTGAGCTGGAGTACTGTAATGGTGAGATCCCTGCTCCCACTTACAGACAGGTGGCTGCCACATTTCTGAGTCACACTCCTGCAGGGAGTGTTCCTGGGGTGTCCTCTAGGGAATGGAGATGTGGAGGTGAATTCTGCTGTGTAGCTGCTGAAGAAGAGATTGAGAACCCTTTTGATTGATTTGTGCCTCAGGAACCAAAGAAAGAAGCCCAGTAGTTAGTGTGGGCAGCAGATGATTCCTTAAGTCTTCTGAGTAGCTGGTGCAGTGGAAGTGTGTTACTGGTTATGTAGGCTTCTAATGCGCTTTGCTCGTTCTTTTAGGAGGACAGTGGGAAAAGACCATGAGGATATTTGGGCCTCTCTGCCAGTACAGAGTGGAGCTGTTTTTCAGTGGCGTCACTTAAATAGACCCCTCCATTTGGCAATTATAAATCAAAGCTTAAAAATCTCCTGGCACACTGCCATCAGGGCTTGTGCTGTCAGCTTCTACATTTACTATTAAAAAAAAAAAAATGCAGTCCTTCTGGTGTGGAGAAAACTTTAAAATTCCATCCAAGAGTAGATCAGATGGTATTGTTTGGAGTTTGCAGGGGGAACAGTCCCAGCTGGGATGGAGACGTAGAAGTATTTGGTGTGAGGGCCTGAGTTGCAGCTGCTCTTAGACATCTGGAAGAGGAGGTTGTATACAGCTAATACTGCTGGAACAGGATACCTACCTGCAACTGCTATAACCATATTTTGGTGACAGCTCCCCTGGGTAGGTATCCTCTGTGTGTTTGGGTGTTATGTTTAGCGATGGCTCATCAGCAGAATTTTGTTTTGGTGGAAAAGGCTATCATCATGTGTTATCATCTTAGATTTCTTTCACTGGGACAGGGTGGGGAGGATGGCAGTGTTGTACAAGGGAGTCAAACACCCTGGTTGGCAGGTTGGCCAAACCTGGTTTTGCTTCTCTGCTTTTTGTTCTTATGCAGAGTGGAACCCAGTGCAAGAGTAGGGGAATGTTAGCTCTTTGATGCACCATTTATTTTAGGAGTGCTCTGTGTGAGTTATTTAGCTGCCCTGAAAAGACTGCATGCTTGGGGGCATTGTAAATTCATTGGAGGTCATAGAGAGAAGCTGCATAGCACTGGTGGCTGTACGTGTTTGTTAATGTCTCTAAACTGTTTTACTTTGGGCTTTACAACCAAGAGATGAGTATACAGCCTGTATTGCCTGAATATGTCTTAGTGGCACAGAACTAGGGCCATGAGAAAGAGGGAATCTCATTTAGACTTGGGGTTGTTGGTTTTGCCGATGTGTTAACAGTTGTTTCTGTGGCTTTTTTTATGGTATACAAGTCCAAAATAATTTATGAGTAATTTTTAAGCTAAGCTGGACTAATCGCTATCAGACACTCCTGAGGATCCAAAATTTTTACTGTTTAATTGGCATGTCTCTGCTGGAGATCCAGGAAAGACTTTCAAATTTGATTAAATATTGTCCCCATTTTACAGGGGAGGAAGCCAAGTTATGGATTTATTTGCTTATAGTTCTGTATGTATATCATGGTACCGTAAGACCTTGATTTATTGTGGGATAACGTCAGTGGATACAGCTGAAACAGATTTGGGAAGAAATATTCTATAAAATGCATTAGTTCAAGAGAGAATAGAGTGTCAGAAGGTTAGATGTGATTAGATGAAATGAAGAAAGTAGTTTGTTTTTCCTTTTAGTATGTGTGCATAGAGGTATTGGTTATCTGAGTCAAGAGCTAATTTCTCTCCTTGTGTGGGATTTTGTAGTACCTCTCGCGCTGCTCTTCAGTTCAGAAAAGCTGCAAAAAAGATAGCAAAACATCAGAGATGAGGAACAGAATTCACTAAAAGCCTGCATAGTCTGAATCACTAGGAAGGAGGTTCATAAGAAGAGGCAGAAGTGAATACTCTGGTTAAATTGTGAATGCAAAGAGCGATTTGTAGCGAATTTGTGAATGTTAACATAAGGCAGAAAAAAGGAATGTTGAGACGTTATAGCAAGGCTAAATGAGAAGAAATTAAGCAAAGGGAATGTTAGTTAGAATATCAGAAAAATCTTACTAACATTTAAGTCTGAAATAAGTCTCTCACGGAGGTAGAGGAGCCATTGTGTCCTGCTTTAGACATCTGCAACTTGACAGGCCCATGGAAGTCATACAGCAGAAAGCTGCCTGGCACTGTACCGTGGGAATGGGAAAGGACCTGGTGTTCTGTTACTGTTAGGACATAATATATGATAATTGGGAAATGGAATAGCAACAGGATGTGATCAGAGGTTTGGGATTTACTGGTAGGATGGTAATCTGACAGGGAGTCTCACTGCCAGCAGCCCTCAGCATCGTTTCTTTTAGCTCTCCTTGATTTTCAGTCTGCTGTCTTGAAATTGTGAGGTGCCCTAAAGAGTCTGCTGATGTCAGGCTTCTGGTGGTGCTGCTGCTGTGGTCAGTGCTTCATGGATTCTGCATCAATGTATTTGGCAGGGCAGCTGAAGGAGAGAGGCAGCTCAGAGCTGGGCAGTAAGTGGGAAAGGCAGTAACTTGTGCTTTCGGGGCTACTCTGAATTTGTAATTGCTTTCTTTCTCTTTATTTAATATGTTATTTATTTATATATAATGCTGAGCAGGACAATCTCACATGATTTGATGTACAGGTTATAAACGTTTACATATCCTAACAAGTGCTTACAGGTAAAAGTAGGGACTGCTAACCTGTCTTATTGGTTCACTTTTCAGAGTATTAAATAGTGGTGTCAGAAAAGAATCATCTCTGCTTAAGCTTAGATATGCCAGTGAAGCTCTTAGATGGAAGAAGAACTTAATTTTGTGAGTACCTGACCAGTTTAAGTGAAGAGTGCTGAGGGAGAGCTGTCGTGGTTCATCAGATCTCTTAGGGGATTTGAGTATTCCCAGCAGTACCTGAGCAGAGTAACTGCTGCCATTAACTAAGATGAATGTCTCTGCCTTTCTCACTCACTTATAATTACAGGAGGGAACCTCTATGACAAGATTCTGCGGCAGAAGGACAAGTTATTTGAAGAAGAGGTAATTTGGACTGGTTTGAGGGAGCAGCGGGGCTGTCCTAATGTTCTGGGGATCTGTCTGAGTATCTGTACAACATTTTTTCCATAGTGCTGGTGGGGATTTTCTGTGTTTATCCGGGGACTGACATTCTTCTTATCCTGTTGAATATTGCAAGCATTTATGGCCTATCAAAACCTTTTTCTTTTCCTTTTTGGCTGTCTGTAGGTAGTATAAAATTCCAAGGGAGGAATAATGAAAAAGAGCACTCAACTGACTTTGGTCACCTTATCATCTTGGCTAACATTTAACTTTAAAACCTCTTACAGTGTTTCTTCCTGGTCGGTACTCAATCTCTCTCTCTTCTTAACCATTTTTTAGGTTCTTTTCTGAGTGATTACTTTGAACCTGTCTCACCATAGTTTTTTTTTCTTGTTCCTTTTTCTTTTATTTCTTTTTCTAAACTTATTTTCTGCTGTCTGCTTCCACCTCATGCTGAGGTGGTTAATGATTACGCTTATTTGTCTTATATAATGACTTTTAAGGCCTTCTGGCTCGTGGTGAATATTAAGTGGTCACAGTTCATATTCCGGAGAGGCCAACTGTAGATCTTTCCCAGGTGGTCATTAGCTGTCGTTCCTAAGTCTTTTCACTCATTGCATTCTGTGATGCTTGTCAGGGCAGACACTATGAACAGCACTAGAACGATCTACCTCTTGGAATATCTTTTCAGATTTCCAAAACATGAAATTCCAAATTTTCATACTCCTGAAAGAGCACCTAAATGGTATGGTCAGGCCCTCTTGCTGTGCCTCTGTCATAGGGTCGTATGGGGGTTTGGTTTTTTTTTTTGAGCTTCACATAAGGCTTTTATTCTTACCTTTGCAGATGGTGGTTTGGTATCTCTTTCAAATTGCATCAGCTGTGAGCTGCATTCATCGAGCAGGAATTCTTCACAGGTAGGTGTGGCATGCATTAAAGCTGAGGTAACCAGTTCATGGATGTGAGTGCAGAACTCCTTTGAGTAGCCTTTGCTTCTGTGTTTAAAGCAAGTGCTGAGCTTCTCTCCAAAGCGTAGCTGGACTGCCTAGGTGTTAAGTATCATGTCTGTAAGGAATTTTTATTGGGCTAGAAACCGTCTTGTGATAAATGTGCAAGAAGTTTTGAATATGAAAGTGGAATTGCTGTCTTTGATGCTGCAGCTTTGTGAGCAAAGAGTTAATCCAGGTAGAAAGGAAGTAAATTGGCCCTTTATTGCCATAGCACATAAATGATGTTTGCTAAAGTGGGTAGGAAGAGCAGTTACCACAGGCCAAAGGTACTTCCTACCCGCCGCCCAATTAATAGCTTCAAACCAACGTGTGCATCCTTCTGTAATTCCTGGAGGCTAGCACTGATGAAGCTTTTGCATTGGTGCGCTTCTGTAATATAACCCATGCAAAGGTTTGTCCTGCATTTGGCTGAATATCATTTTTCGGCTGGTTGTTTAAGGAAGTGATATAGCTTGTAGCTGGTCATGGTAATTTTGACACTGACTCTGAGATTTTAATGAGTAGCTAATTACCTTTTTCT